CGCGCGCGCGAGCGCGTCCGCTATAAAAGCGCGACTCCTTCGCGCGCACCGCACAAACCTGCCAGCGGCTGACACGCGAGCGCGCGCACGCACGCGCGACGTTGAAAGGCTGCAAAGCAACCAAAACGGCAGGTAGGCGCAGTTGGGCCCATTGTTTTTCTTTTTCTTCTCTTCAGATTCTCTTCGGTGTTGGCCTCGTTGGAGCGGCGACGACAACCGTCGGCGGAGTCCAACGGAGCGAATTCCGTCACGCGCCAAGAAATCCGTTCAAACTTTGAATTGATTGATGGCGAAATGGATTCCGTCCAGCCATTTGGATATTTCACTTTTCGAATTTTTTTTCCACGATCATGCAAATCTGATCGGTTTTGTTAGAATAAGAACGATGCCTTTTTTTTTTTTTTGTGGCCCTTTTTTTGGGCCTTGGAAAAAAAAGAGGTCAACCTTTGGCAGATTTTCAAAGTCCGATTTGTGTTGGTTTCTTTCCGCGACTCTCCGTGCGAATTGAATTGACGTGAGGAAAACGAACGAAGGGGATTATTTTGGATTTGGTCAATCGTTTCGGTTCAACATTAAAATAATTAAATAAATAAATCGATCCAGAATCCTTTTGAGCCCTTTTTCGATTGTTGGTGCTTTTGATTTAGGGGCGGATTATAAATGTTTCGTTGACAATGTCAAAGTTTAGTTTTACAGTTGCATAATAATTTTAAAAAACGAATCATCTCAATATTTCGATTGTAGGACAGCAAAAAAACGTTTTTGATTGTACCGATGTGTCGCATTTCTCCTTTGATTTGTCATTGAATCACAAGGACTGACCTGGTTCGAGGCGCTTTCTTCGGGTGTTTTCTCAAAAGTCCAAAAGTCCAAATTCATTGGACTCGAAGAAATGTCCAATACGCAAAAACGTTTTCTCATCCGGAAAATGTTCCAAATTTCAATCTGTCATCCCGAAAGAAACCTTTCGATGTGGAAGGCGCAATTTGATGGACGCGTCCTCATTCCAATTCCGTCTTGCTCGCAAGTTTGGAAGGAAATCGGCTGGCAAAGTTGGAGCGCAAAAGCCCCCCGCTCGCTCTCACCTGGGATGAAGCTTTTTTTTTTTTTCTTTTGCTTCTCCGCGGACGAAAACATTTCCTATTTGTTGCATTTCAATCAAGGCTCACGCTCAGATTTTTATTGGATTATTTTTTTGGACTGTGTCGTCCGAACGAACCGCAGCATCGTCATCGTCGTCTTGAGGCTCCTGAATAAATGCACCCGAAAACCCGGACCCTCCCCCACTCAGCCATTGGAAACAGCACAGCCACCTTATGCAGCACGTACACAGTTGCACAAATTCTTCTATCTTCTATTTTTAGATTGCATTCTGCACTGCGTCCGGTTCAGTTTGAAAACCAATTTTGTGCATGCAAATCCTTGTTTTTCGAGCAGAGGTGAGCCCGCCTTGCACCTGCACAAATTGGCACTTTGCCCCCCCCCACCCTTCATCATCAAAATCCTCCCAAATGCTAACCAGCAAACAGCAAACTATTGAAGCTGACAACAAATGAAAAGCTCCTCTTTCAATTCCTTGAAAATGCCAGCGCGATGCCCAGACATGTGGGCAAGGAGAGCCCACGTTGCAGTTTCCAACCGGTCCAACCCCCAGATGCAAAATGAAAGCACACCGCAAGGAGTTGCTGCTGCCACATCCCCCCCCCCCCCCCCCTGTGAAATTGACTCAGCGTTAAAGATTAGCCAGCGGGTGAGCAAGGCGCTTGAAAGTTTCCCGGTAACAGCCGAGCAAGCGCTCGGTCGGCCTCCTCATCACCATCGTCGCATCGCGTTGCCAAGGTAACCGCCTCACTCGGCCGGTCTAAAGTCCACCGTTCTCGGCCAATATGCTCGTTCATCTGTCGTCAAAAGTTCGAGACGTTTCGTAGGTCGCCGATTTGATTCCGGGCACTTTGTGTTTCATCACACGTCACTCATTTGAGTTGGAAGAAAGCCCGAGTGAGGTGAGTGACGGCTTTGTCCGTCCCGCTTGGTCGCCGTCCGACCGACCTTCGGCAGCAGCGAGTTCACGCGCGCGCGCGCACGCGCCGCCGGCGCAGCCGCGAGGCGGCAGATGGGCTTTTCGGCAAACTGCGTCGCGTCACGTGATCCCTTCGGTCGACGTCGGCGCCATATGGCGAGGGGGCGCGGCCCGGATGCGCCAATTGGCACGCGCGCGCGAGCGCGTCCGCTATAAAAGCGCGACTCCTTCGCGCGCACCGCACAAACCTGCCAGCGGCTGACACGCGAGCGCGCGCACGCACGCGCGACGTTGAAAGGCTGCAAAGCAACCAAAACGGCAGGTAGGCGCAGTTGGGCCCATTGTTTTTCTTTTTCTTCTCTTCAGATTCTCTTCGGTGTTGGCCTCGTTGGAGCGGCGACGACAACCGTCGGCGGAGTCCAACGGAGCGAATTCCGTCACGCGCCAAGAAATCCGTTCAAACTTTGAATTGATTGATGGCGAAATGGATTCCGTCCAGCCATTTGGATATTTCACTTTTCGAATTTTTTTTCCACGATCATGCAAATCTGATCGGTTTTGTTAGAATAAGAACGATGCCTTTTTTTTTTTTTTGTGGCCCTTTTTTTGGGCCTTGGAAAAAAAAGAGGTCAACCTTTGGCAGATTTTCAAAGTCCGATTTGTGTTGGTTTCTTTCCGCGACTCTCCGTGCGAATTGAATTGACGTGAGGAAAACGAACGAAGGGGATTATTTTGGATTTGGTCAATCGTTTCGGTTCAACATTAAAATAATTAAATAAATAAATCGATCCAGAATCCTTTTGAGCCCTTTTTCGATTGTTGGTGCTTTTGATTTAGGGGCGGATTATAAATGTTTCGTTGACAATGTCAAAGTTTAGTTTTACAGTTGCATAATAATTTTAAAAAACGAATCATCTCAATATTTCGATTGTAGGACAGCAAAAAAACGTTTTTGATTGTACCGATGTGTCGCATTTCTCCTTTGATTTGTCATTGAATCACAAGGACTGACCTGGTTCGAGGCGCTTTCTTCGGGTGTTTTCTCAAAAGTCCAAAAGTCCAAATTCATTGGACTCGAAGAAATGTCCAATACGCAAAAACGTTTTCTCATCCGGAAAATGTTCCAAATTTCAATCTGTCATCCCGAAAGAAACCTTTCGATGTGGAAGGCGCAATTTGATGGACGCGTCCTCATTCCAATTCCGTCTTGCTCGCAAGTTTGGAAGGAAATCGGCTGGCAAAGTTGGAGCGCAAAAGCCCCCCGCTCGCTCTCACCTGGGATGAAGCTTTTTTTTTTCTTTTGCTTCTCCGCGGACGAAAACATTTCCTATTTGTTGCATTTCAATCAAGGCTCACGCTCAGATTTTTATTGGATTATTTTTTTGGACTGTGTCGTCCGAACGAACCGCAGCATCGTCATCGTCGTCTTGAGGCTCCTGAATAAATGCACCCGAAAACCCGGACCCTCCCCCACTCAGCCATTGGAAACAGCACAGCCACCTTATGCAGCACGTACACAGTTGCACAAATTCTTCTATCTTCTATTTTTAGATTGCATTCTGCACTGCGTCCGGTTCAGTTTGAAAACCAATTTTGTGCATGCAAATCCTTGTTTTTCGACTTCTTCCCTCCGAACTTG